AAAATTTACCATCATGACATTTTTAGGTGTATAGTTCAGTGGCATTATAGAAATTCAAAACGTATGCAACCATCACCACCATCTATCGCCACAGTTCTTTTCATCTCACAAAACTAAAACTTTGTACTCATTAAACAATAAATCCCCATTCTCCCTTCCCTCAGCCCCTGCAAAACACTATTCTATTTTCTGTCTTTATGAGTTTGACTCCTCTATCTCATGTAAATGGAATCATATGGTATTTGTCTTTTTGTGACTGTCTTACTTCATTTAGCACAATGTCTAAAGGTTTATCCATGTTGTAGCGTATGTGAGAATTTCCTTCCTTGTTAAGGTGAATAATATTCCACTGTATGTATATACCACATCTTGCTTATCCATTTATTTGTTGATGTACATTCTGGAGTACTTTTACATTTTAGCTATTGTGAATAATACTGCTATGAACATAGGTACACAATCTCTCTTTAAGACCCTAGTATCAGGGGTGCCTGGGTGGCTCAGTCATTAAGCATCTGCCTTCGGCTCAGGTCATGATCCCAGTGTCCTGGGATCGAGCCCCGCATCGGGCTCCCTGCTCAGCGGGAAGCCTGCTTCTCCCTCTCCCCACTTGTGTTCCCTCTCTCACTGTGTCGCTCTTGTCAAATAATAAAAATCTTTTAAAAATAAATATCTTTAAAAAAAAAAAAAGACAGTAGTTTCAATCCTTTTGGGTGTAAACTCAGAAATGGAATTGCTGGGTCATATGGTAATCCTATTTTTAATTTTTTGGGTAACTACCATACCATTTTCCATAGCAGCTCTCATTCTATATTCCCATCAACAGTGCACAAGAGTTTCAATTTCTCCACATCCTCACCAACACTTATTATTTTTATTTATTATTTTTGATGGTAGCTATCCTAATGGGTATAAGTTAATACTGGCCTCATAAAATTAGTGGGAGAGTGTTCTTTCCTCTTCTATTTCTGGAAGAGTTTGTATAGAATTGCTATTATTTTTTCCTTAAATACTTGTAGAACTGGCCAGTGAAGCTATCAGAGTTGTCCTATGGGAAAGTTTTTAGATTGTCTATTACTTAAGTTTTGGTAGTCTTTTAAGAAATTTGTCCATTTCATCTAAGTTATCAAATTTATTGACATAAATTGCTAATATTCCCTATTAGCATTTTAATTTCTGTAGAACATACAGTGATGTTCTCTTTTTCATTCTTAATATTAACATTTGTATCTTCTCTGTTTTTTGCTGACAAGTCTACTAGAGGTTTGTCAATTTCATCTTTCCAATACCAGCTTCTGGCTTTACGGACTTTTTTTATTTTTGTTTCAAACTTTATTTCTGCCCTGCACTATTTCCTACTAATTTCTGCTTCTTTGGGGCTTAATTTGCTCCTCTGTTTTTTAGTTTCTTAAGGTGGAAGCTGAGATCATTGATTTCAGGTATTTTTTGTTTCTTTTCTAATCTAAGTATTTTTAATGCTATGCATTTCCCTCTAAGCACTGCTTTAGCTTAGTCCCATATATTTTGCCATTCCATTCAAAATAATTTTTAATTTCCCTATGCCTTTGCTTTGGCTCATGGGTTTAGAGGTGTGTTAATTTCCAAATATTTGGAAATTATCCAGATATTGCTATCAATTTCTCATTTAATTCATTTGTGACCAGGGAAATTACACTTCTTTAAATTTGTTGAGGTTCATTTTATGGTCCAGAATGTCTAACTTTGTGAATTTTTCATATATACTTGAAAAAGAATGTGTATTCTGCTGTTGTTGCATGGAGTATCCTCTCGAAGTCAATTTAATCAAGTTGGTTGGTAGGGCTGTTTAGGTTTTCTACATCCCTATTCATCTTCTACTAGTTCTATGGGTTACTGAAGGAGGACTATTGACATCTCCAACTGAAATTGTATATTTGTCTATTTCACCTTTTGGTCCTTTCAGTTTTTGTGTTAGGTGTTTTCACATTTATGACTGTTACGTGTTCTTGATGATTTTACCCCTTATTCATTATGCAATGCTCTTCATCTTTCCTAGTAATATTTCTTGTTCTGACATCTACTTTGTCCAGTATTAGTATAGCCACCTCATCTCTCTTTTCATTAGTGTTTTGGATAGTATATGTTATCTCTATCTTTTTACTTTTAATGTATTTATGTCTTTATATTTAACTTGGATTCAAAAAATGTTGAGCAATTCCCTTCATCTTTTTTTTCCATTTCTCACATGAATTAAGTAACACCTATATCAAAGTGATATAGGAGAACTAGATAAAAGGAGATAAAGTAAAAGCATTTTGTAAATCAAACAATGGTACATACACATATATATCATTATATACAAGTATACATGTATCATAAACTAATCCATGGTGCCCAAAGTCTAATGGCTTACTTTTATCCATCAGTGCTAATTTCCTACATTTTCAAATTTACTAGTTTTATTTTAATGAAACAGAATAAACAAATTTACCTTTCCTTTTCTGAAGTCAAAAACCCTTGTTTTGTTTTTTTTTAAGATTTTATTTATTTATTTGACAGACAAGAGAAGGAACACAAGCAGGGGAGAGGGAGAAGGAGAAGCAGGCTTCCCGCTGAGCAGGGAGCCCGATGCGGGCCTTGATCTCAGGACCCTGGGATCATGACCTGAGCCGAAGGCAGATGCTTAATGACTGAGCCACCCAGGTGCCCCCCAAAACCCTTGTTTAAAACCCTCATCATCCAGGGGCGGCTGGGTGGTTCAGTCGGTCAGGCATCTGCCTTCAGCTCAGGTCATGATCTTGGGGTCCTGGGGTTGAGCCCTGCAATGGGCTCCCTGCTCAGCAGGGAACCTGCTTCTCCCTGTCTCTCTCTGTGTGTGCATGCTCTAATAAATAAAATCTTTAAAAAAAATAATAAAACCCTCATCATCCAATATCAATTTTATGAGCAAATTCTTAAATACTTGTTATGTGTTAAATTAAAATTCTTGATCCCTTTAATAAAGTGAGAAAATAATCAGTTGTGGCTAAGACCTACACTAACATTGCAAGATTATTTCATTTGAAACAAAGAAAAAATAAAAATGTTAAAGAAAACGAGTACTCTCAAAGAAACACTATAAATATCCAGGATTTCTATCACAATTGAAAGGCGTAACTTTCCAGGAAGATTCTTTTCTCCTAAAAAAAGGAACAAAAAAACAGGGCGCCTGGGTGGTGCAGTCGGTTAAGTGTCTGCCTTCAGCTCAGGTCATGATCCCAGGGTCCTGGGATCAAGTCCCGCATCAGGTCCCTGCTCTTCTCCCTCTCCCTCCGCCTGCTGCTCCCCCTGCTTGTGCTCTCTGTCAAATAAATAAATAAATAAATAAATAAATAGAGAAAACAGGTCATAAATTTCCTGAGGTGGAGGAACATATAATAAACAGTTTTATTCCCCAGTGTCCAAAATGATGAAGTGAAATAATGGATATAAATGATATATATAAATTGTCAATATAAATAGTACATGCTCAACAAATGTCTATTATGATTGTTGCAATTACTCAGCTACTACAGTGTGTTAAATAATGTATGTTGAACTGAAATAGTGAGTGAGACCAAGGACAACTAATTCTTTAAAGCCAATTTCAGGAAACTGAAACATCTGCGTGTAAACTCTATAAGTGTTTACAATACTAAAATGAAAAACTGAAAATAAATGAAAAAGTTCCTGGAATCTCTCAGAGGCTTTCAATTAGATAGCATCAATCAAATGGCTACTTTTTCCAACAAAGACCTATATGGGGACAAGCTACCAACTTTTAGCAAACATCTTCCACTCACTTAAAAGGTCAAGATCAATCAGCTATTTATACATCCTTTAGACACAAGGCATCACATACTATGTGTAGTCATGGTAGGCTTACCAAAAAACTAGTCATATTCTGGCAAAGCATGTTGTATGATAAACAGACCATAAACAGAAACTATCACTGGCACTTGGGCAAAATCCAGCTGGGTTTCTTTATCCCTGATCCCGGTTTCAGCTGCAGGTTTTTTCCAGAAAGAACAGTAGCTTGATTTACTCAACACTCTGCTAAAGTCAGGGTGTGGTCATCCTTCTCTAAATAATATTACAAATGGATTTTCCTGAACTCTTGTAGCAACAGGATCTTAAAGTGGTTACTGGTAAGAAAAGGTGAGATTAAGGTCAAAATGCACATCTATACAAAAGTAATCAATTAGTTTTCAAGGACCACCTAGAAACAATGGAGGCAGAGGTATTATGGAGACCAAAATAAAGAGTTAATACAACAAAGCCCACTAATACTTTTCAAGCTTTCAACATGGAGCCACAGTAACAGTTGAAGAGTATGTTTTTGCCGGCTTTCCTGTTAAGTAAGGACAATTTCATCCCGAATTGTTACAATACACTATTAACTGCCCCCACATACAAATCAACCAGTTTCCTTCCTGGTCATCAGAACAGGTCTAAACGTCAGAGTGAATTCAGAAAAATCAACTAAATCTCTCCTTCACCTGTTCTAAAACACTACCAACTAGGGATTCAGAAAGTAAGACGCAGCAGCTTTTTTCTAAGGCAGGGACAAATAGGAATGTGTTTAATCAATAATCGCATTCCTTCCCTCTGGCTAGCCTAGAGAATAAAAATCAACCTCTGTTCTGCGGGTGTGCACCCCAGCTCCTACATTGTGCTCGCATTCCCCCAGACATCCCAGCTGCTTTGAAATGAGCAACTGTACAGAGAAGCCCTTTGCGCTGCCTGAAGCTTGTCACAGTGTTAGGAGACCACTATGTGCCAAGGACGACGCTTACCACTCCACGCTACCTTTTCATTACCTTTGAAGCACCTTCTATCCCTGGAAAGGAAACTGAGTCCCAAGCTCACACAGGCAGTGCGGCCAATCCACCAGGAGGGCCCACTCCAGGGCCCTGGCATAAACCACCGTGGAACTTTCATCTTGCTCAGTGCACCCGTTTTCCTGAGGGCAAGGGTATGGCTTAGGTGCTCTAAATACTCACTAGGCAGGTAGTGCTTGTGACGTGAACTTTCTTTTCTTCTTGGCCACTCTCAGGTCGCAAGCCCTCTAGAAGAGTGGGGAAACTGAGGCACGGGTAAAGTGATTTGCCATTGGTCACAGAGCCCGTAATAGGCAGAGAGAGGGCTAGAAAGCTGATCTTTGCGATCCTCCACGTCCGTTTGTAACACGGCCCAGAGTCTCTACCTGGGTTACCTGGCCCTAGGCTCCCGCTGACTTTCAGGGGAAAGGGCCTAGGGCCGGGGCGCTCCCCACCTGGATCATTTTCCCGTCAGCAGCCTCCGTCGACAGGAGAAAGCTGCGGCCCGCCCGGCGGCCCCACCCGCCGCCAGCTGCAAGGCACCGCGCCAGGCATGTGTTGCCTGTTCGCAGGCACTCCCTCCTCCGCCTTCACCCCTCTACCACCTTCCGCCCTCGCCCCAACCCAGCTGAGCGCCCGCGCGCCCCTGCCCACGGCCTGTGGGCCCGAGAGCCGACTGCTCACGTGGGCCTCCACGTGGCCCCGCCGCCACCAATGGCAAAACAGGGCCTCCCGTTTGCCACGCCCCTCGGTGCCCCGCCCCCTCGAGGGAAAGCTGGACTCGGGGCTGGCCCGTGCACCTCCCCGCTGCGCCGGCTGTGCCTGCTTTGCCGCGTGCTGTGTATGCGCGTGGGCAAGGTCGGGGGGTTGGGGGGTGTCGTCGAAACGCGGTTGAGGCAGCTGAAGCCACAAGCTCTAGGGGGAGGCGGGGGTGTCGGGGAAGGCCTAGGTGGGGAAAGGGCCGTTTCCCAGGAAAAGGAAGGAAATGGGTATCACCTGCTGCACACACTGCCCTTTCGGGGGGTCAGAAAGAACGGCTCCAGGTTTTCCCATTTTATGGTTAAATCACTCGAACCCCCGCAAACTCCGTCACGTCAGGAACATCAGCAATTACTTCGCAGTAGCTGCACATGGAGCAGTAATGATCATCTCTTGAGCACTGCCGGGGGCCAAGTCTGTGATCTTCCAGGAGGAATAGCCGGCTCATAGAGCTCATCTCATCCGAGGGCACCCACCTGGCCCGTGGCCTTCTCTATCGGCTAGTCCAGGGCCCGCTTCGAACTTTAGTGGCACTTAGACTTCTGTCATTAACTTAATTCAATTACAGGTATCCTCGTGCAGCTTTCTCGTGGATGGTTTTATGAAGAAAAAATAGGACTATATCTAGACCACGTTGCTATGTCCGAAACCGACGTACGTACCTAGGTCAGTTGTGTATATTCTTATGTCACAGGTCCCTCAATTAAGCCACATGCCCCTTAAGAACACGAAGTATTTTTGTTGTTTTTAACACTGCTTAGAAGCTGTCATGATGACCTATGGTAACATGGGAAATTGCTGATACGGGACTTAGCCAAACATATGTCCCCCATTTGTCATATTTGGCAGCATATAGTTGTGCTTGATTATGAATTCCCATGGACAGTACTTTTAGGTTGTTACCTGGGTGCAAATACCATGGGGAAATAGCTCCAGATCTGCTATTCTACCTCTAAACTTCATTTTCTTATTAATACAGAATTGCTACTCCTGTTTCTCTTTCTCTCATCTCTTAGGGTGAGTAGTTTCACTGAAGATTTTTGTCAGACAGTTATAAGAAAGGGAGAAGGATTAAGGAACAATGAGAATTGAACCAATAAAAAAACCTTTACTGATTTGAGATCTTAATGTTCTGGTTCCTCTTTGGCACCCTCTCCTCCTAAGATTTTAGAACTCATTGACTGTTCGCCAAATGCTTTTTTTTTTTTTTAAAGATTTTATTTATTTATTTGAGAGAGAGAATGAGAGAGAGCGAGTACATGAGAGGAGGGAGGGTCAGAGGGA